TATGAGATATATGTTTGTGCGGAACCATGGATGCAGTTACCAGGAGGTCCTGGTTTTCGGTTCTTGGGCCAAAGTCTCGCGCGCATTGAGTCTCCGAAAACTGTTACATATTTGCGACTAGTGTTTGTTCTCTCAGCCTTGAGGCAGCTACATCATAATGACGCAGATACGGATGCAAAACTCTCACCTTCCAGTGCAGTCCCACCCATGCAAGAAAGACGACATTACTTTAACTAAACGCGGACTTTGGTTGGTACATCTTACAGGAGTATGTCTTCTGGGTTGTTGCGCTCTGTAATCTGGTAGAAGTTTATCGACGTTTCAGAGGTGCTCATCACGGTTAATGATGGAGGTAACAAGCACCTCTGAAACGTCAGTAAAATTATACCACACTACGCGCGTTGCATGCCAGGAGACAGCCATCTTCAGTAATGGAATTCATACAGAATTTGAAAGCTCACCGGGAACAACGCTCAAACACCCCGTTCAAAGTTCACCCACCAGCCTAATGAACGAAGGTCTTTGAGGAGACCTTACAAACGCTGCCATGACCTCGTAATAGGACATTGGGTCTAAGACGTAGAAGGCTGATGATAATCTCTAAGATTCTTGCTTTGCTCACTGTTAAATTATGTGGGCTACCGTTTTGTTATGTATATTGTTAAATTTCCTATATTTTTTTTTATAATTTTTGTAATTTTTTCGCGAACACTTCCATCAGTCAAAATGTTACTTTCTATGTTCATTAAGCTTTCCATTTTCTGTTTCATTCCCAAAATTACACATTTGTCTTAATTAGTATTTAATTTACTGTGAATTGTCTTTTAAAATGTCTTTCGTAAAGCGTTGTCTCTCTGTTATTACGCCAAGACTATGTCATTTTCGATACTTTTTGTTAATCTATTCACTAGTCATTCTACTAGTTTCATTTTCTCATCCAATTATCACCCTTCTATACCCATCCCTTTTATATTATCTCTCTCCTTTTGTTTGTGAGTAACTGAACGGAACAGAGTCCTTTAAAATCTAGGAGTCGCATTTGTCAGATAAGAAAAAAGTTGTCAGTGGAACTACGGTTCCGGAGAATTTGACGTAAATACGTCTTGACGACAGGTCAGGTCCATATGAACAGGATCCTTCTTCCATCCTTTTCTCGGACTGGGATCTGTTCATATACGTTCTTGGCAGATGATCCATAAGTGGTTTGCCATTGCCTTCTTCTGTGTGTGAATGGAGTAATTGTTGGGATGCCACGGAGGAAAACTCCGTGTTGCCTAGACCACGGCCTTGCCCAACACAAGTTATAAATTCGGGCACCGCCGCTAATCGAACCCGAGACCCCAGGATTACAAGGCCAGCGTTCTAACCGCTAGACATTGTAATGTAATGTAAAGTAATGTATTTTAATGACGTTTTCTAGGTAACAAAATTTTCGAGTAAATAGATGATCCTTAGGTAACCATTGTTGTTTATTTGTTGATAAACAGATGACGTTTCCTAGGTAACATAACAATGAAGTTACAGTTTTTCGTTTCCCTTTTTCGTAACACATTTTTCCTTATAGACGTATTTACGTCAAAAATTCGAGAGTTGTCTCTTATCAAGTGCAGGATGCGTGGTCTTTACCATCATCTTCCTCTCATTCTGTACTTCTTGTCTTCTTTCTTTCGTCGTTTCGCTTAAAAATCTCTTTCTCTTTCCTTATTCACCTCTTCTCTTACTTTTCTTTGATTCTCTTCCTCTCTCTCTGCTTCTCCGACGCGAGGAGAAAGTGTGGTCAGCGGGCGATACTGAACTGGGATAATCCCGCCATTCCTCAGAAGCGGATGTTCACTCTGCAGAAAGTGACAGTGACCTTGACATGGTTGCGTCGTGTCTAGAAACCGATTTCCTTCTCCTGCACGGAACTGGAGCGCGGACCGGCACGCGGATATTCCGCACACATGATTTCCGGTTCCGTCTGCCCGATGAGTAACCCACATTTTGTTATGACGCAGACGTCGTGACGTGTTGTAACGCCCGTCATGGCCAGCGTTCCCAGATCTTGGTGGGCGGCGACTTCCTTACATGACTTGCATTCAGCACTCAAGTTTCTTAACGTAGGTCTACAGCTCAGGCATGTAACCAAAATATTATGCCCTAGAAATTCGGAAAATGATCAAAAGACATGGAAAAGATTGTAAGGATTTAAGGTTTTCACGGTGGTGAGTCCGAAGATGGCTGTCTTCTGGGTAGTCTGGTAGAAGCAGCGAGCATTGGAACGGTTTCCACGCTCGTGGCTTGCTTATCGCCCTGATGATGGAGGCAGCAAGGACCTCTGAAACGTCGGTAAACTTCTGCCAGACTACACGACACTACAACTGCAATTTTATGTACATTCAGACTCGTTTTCAACGGCATTATTCTTGCCCTGGAACAACATGAATTTAATGTGTAAGGAAATTGTCATAACATCATCAACTATTACGGACTAGACTTTGTAGAATGTCCGAATTCAAAATTTCTTCTAAAATTATGAGTCATTGTAGAGATGAAGTCTGACGGCAAAAGATCGGCTAAAGATGGAGAAAAGATGCTTTGTTCTACTATTAAATTACTTATTTTGCTTGTGAACAGGTAGTTTTGACTTATCTCTTAAATGTAGTCTCTGATAGCGTGTGCCTTCTACGCTAATGTTCCGTAAATTTTATTCATCTGAGGTACACTAATTTCTCAGACACGTGACAGCACACCACAAAATGTCTCCTCACTAAAGGCAGCTACGAAACTACACATTCTCTCTCTCTCTCTTTGTATGACGCTGGAAATTCTTTGAAATGTCGATTCTACACTCGGCTTTAAATGCTCAGACATACGAAAATACCGACTAATTTGTTAGGAAATAATTACAGCTTGAGGGAAGTTGGTGTTGCTTGAACCTCAGAGATGCGCCCGACAGGGATGTTCGTATTGTATATTGCAGAGGGTTGAATACGAAGGGTGGTTACTGTAGCAGAGGGTTTAGAATAATGAAAAGATATTCAGTGCCTATGTGACTGTATTGACCTGTAGTTTCACAGAAATACCGTCTGTTAATTTCTGTTAATATAAATATCTGTACTTGAATAAGAGGACAGGCGGTTAATAGCAACTCCCTCAGAGGGTTACAAAGGCCCCGCTTTCTGGAGAACCCAGATCGAAAGAAAATGGATTGAATGGATAGTGTTTTCACAGGAAAATGTCCGTACTTCAAAGAACATTATACAAGAATTATATTAAACTAACCTTAAGAACCAGTAACTTTCAAAATTAAAACAGAAAGGGAAAAATGAGAATTTAAGTGACATAAACTCAATATTTACTGTTTCAACACAAAATTTTGTTCCTACAAACAAAAAACCTTGAGGTTGCTGTTTCGTGTTATGGGATTTCTGGGGTTAAAATTTCGGGTCCGAAGGCTAGTTTTTGTGAGTGTGATTTTTCGTGGGTTTTCCCCATCTCTCAAGGCAAATGCCAGGATAATACCTTAAATTAATCAACTTAAGCTTCCTTCCAAATCCTTCCCAATTAATTATTCATCAAACCACCTTATTATTCGATACTGTACTGTCTGATCTGTTGGCAGCTTTGTTAAAGAAATTAACGTGTTCCTAGAATTTATCTGAAAAAAAAAAACATGTGGACAAATCATGTGCAACAAATTTGAAACTTCTGGTGAATAAATTTCCTTTTGCTACGAGTGAATGTTTCTTGAAGCTGTTATATGTAATTCTTACTTCTAATACCTAGTGGTGTAGTAATGTAGGCAATGGAGTTATACTACCGGTGCCATCTGTTAGAAGATACACCAAATTAACATCCCTAGCGGGATTGACGTAAACTACTTGTCACCATCTTCGCCGGCTCGGAATACCAAGTAGGCTACGTACACTATTTGGTTAGCTATCTGATGTGTGTGCTAATTTTACGAAGCTATATCAACTGCAACCCCCAAAGGGCTCACATAGTGAGTACGGAAAGTGGCGTTCCCGAGGCACTCCAGCTACCCAGTGTCCGGGAGTACAACTCTATGTCATAACAACCTCTTGTTATAACATAGAGGAAATTACGAATTTTTACAATTCTACTATTGACAATTGCCAAACAAATTTTGACCGAAGGAACTCGGTGATAGCTAAATTCAAACTACTGCACTAATGTACACCATTAAGCATGTAACTCATCATCAAAGAGTTATATTGACCTTGTATTCGTAGAAATTTAATTTTGAAGCCACTGAAATGAAGGCGTTTTAATGAACACAGACTAGGTCTGATTTTATAGTTTTATTTATTTGTAAAAGGCCTATGTTTCGACGTCTCTGGTCGTGTGGTTAAACTTAAAGCTGATTTCTTGTCTTGAAACTAAAAAAAAATCACTCAAGTTTTCATTAATGAAAATCTGTGGACGTTAGGGTTTAACCCCATCTCATCACCCCCTCCCCAGCTAACGCCAGTGTTTGATTCAGTAGACAAATTGTGAAGTGCCAGCGAGTGTGTTAGGGAAGTAAGAGTAGGAAGGGAATTTGGACTCAAACAAAGATAAAAATACAAGTAACACGAGTTCTCAAACGATAAAATTATCTTGAGCAACTCTTAAATCAGTTGTTAAAAGATTCTGCATATAATATACGATTTTATTGAATACAAAACATATTATTGTGTAATAAATAATATAAACTGTAACAATAAATTAATGCAATGTTTCTTTTATTATTACGTACCATTAAATCTTGAATATTTATATTTGCTTAGATAAGCTATAAATTTAAGATCTTTGGCATAGTTTTATAAAATCAATTTACATTTGTATGTTACATCATTGTAGAGACTAGTGGCAGTTTATTTTATGTAAAATTCAAAATCCCCTTTACTTACCTTGCAAAAAATTATACTTAATGACAACCATTCCCCACTTAATAAATTCGAGTACCAGGAAAAACTTCTTCATATGACTCCTCTGTATAACATGACAACAAACATTCGAGTACCAGGAAAAACTTCTTCATGTGACTCGTCTGTATAACATGACAACAAATAATTATGTTACAGGACTCTAAATCCATAAACGTGATAAATGGTGTGGGACTTGTTTAAAACTATAGATCAGGTACATGTTAGAAATAAATAATAATATTGTTTCTTGAAGTTCGACCTTATCCTACGCTCAGTTTAGCTAGACAATCACAACGTTCTTAAAATAAAACAAAAAATAATAATTTGAAATTGGTACTAGTCGTAGGTAATTTTTTCAAATAAATTAATCTCAAAATGTTATCCTCTCTAGGGCTCAGCCCGACGTTTGCAAAATTAAGTATTATTCTAATTTACTGCTTAGCCTGGCAGTTGTGAAATTAGAGAAATAATTATAATATTACGGGGATATAATATGCCAAAATACGACCACAAAGGCAACCTGGTATTTATACTGTGAAGATCTTTGGCGTCTGGCAATACCTACTTAAAAGTATGTTCTTCTCTGATCTATTAATACTTCAAGATAAACATCTACAGTTTTAATAAAAGAAACTTATAACGATTATAAACATATACAAAGAAATTAAGACAGTTATTTTGCTATGTTAAACTTACTAAGAAAATATTTCGTCAATAACAGTCTCCTTGAAAGTGTTGAACTAATAAATTAAGTGTAGTACTATAAAACTTTATAACCATTGCCCAGTTATAGAACAATTTCTAATGCCAGATCTAGAAGAGACAGTTGATGCAATGCCGAGTTATGAAAAGTAAATTTATTTTCGTTGCAAAGTATAAATAGAAAAGTTTGAGTGGGAGCTTTTGTGTGTTCAAAACAACCTGAAATACATGAGAGTCTCCTCACAAAGTATTAAGAACAAAATATCTGATAATGTACACTTGTAGCTTATTAACAGACGACGAGCGGTTATATGCTTCAGAATAATTATGATAATTATCTTCTACTAAGTCTTATAGTCGCTATCGATAGACTGATTTATGCTCTCCAAAAAAATCTGAGTTTTGTCTAGTTTCTTAATACAAAAGTTTTTCTTGTTCGATCTAATGTAACAGTTTAATTCAGATTTTCCAAAACGAATAAAGAAAATCAAAAATTTCGCAGGTTATAAGATATTCATTTATTGAGTTTGCTGTGTCTTTATAAAACAATAAATTCCAATAAGGAAAGTAACTTTAATATAAATTTGACTGTTCCAACTTTCTTGTATTATTAATTAAAAGAGGTGCTGTCGCTTTAAAAATCATTAAAATGTGCACAGAAATAATTTTTTTAAAACTTTCGGAGAATATGTAGAAGAAACTACTCTTTAGCTTTAGGTGTATCCTACCCGGGCACTGGGCAGTTCAGTAAATATTTCAATTGAAGAATTACGTAATTGTTGAAATTTCGAAAGTATGAACTCCAAATTGGAAAAAATTACTGTTGTGTCTTTTGAAGCTGTTGTCCTGGTTGTTGCTGTTGGTTGTAGTACCCACTGTATGCCATCTGGTGAGGATCCCAGACCCTAGAATAGGGTCCTCCAGAGGATGCATTTGGGTCCCAGCTAGGGTCGTACGATGAACCAGGAGTGGAAGGCCCTGGTGCAGGGGCTCCGTAAGGTGTTGGAGGCGCTGGTTCCACGGTCACAGGGTTCGTCGGCATTGGCATACCCGCCTTCTTGCACAGTTGCATGATGAGGAAGCCAGCGACGAGGAGAATGGCTAGTTTGCTGAGGATAAGGGCCTTCAGCGCCTTCACGCCTATGATGGCCACGACGATGGGCATTAGGGCTTTCAGCTTCAGCTTGAAGAGTAGCAGGAGGGGTAGAAGAAGCTTCTTCTTCAGAATACCACGAGCTGAAAGAGACGCAAGTTAGTGCCAATATCGGTTAAATCGACCGTAATAAAAATTGTATAAAATGGCAACGACAATTTTTAAGTTGCTTATCTTGACTGCTACCACCGGTAGAGAGGAACAAAAGAATTTCATATCTTAGACCCACCGGTTCAGATCCAGGAGAGGCAAATCGTAAGGCAATTTAAAACTATCCCATGTGAGGCATCCGGTTCGACTTGCAATGGAACAAAGCCGAACAGATGACCACTACAGTTCAAACGCCAAGTCTGTAACGACACTGGTACAACTGATTACATCTGTGCATTTATAATTTTTAAACTTATTTTGTTTAATGCAGAATAGTGTTTTAAATCCAACAGTCACATCGTATTCCCTTAATAGAACCTTTAGCATATACATAAATATGTTGAGACACGACGGTCGTTTGGATTTTTAATTCTTTTCATAATTCACAATTGATATCTCGTTTTAAGCACTAAACTTTGTACTGTGGTTTTCACTGAAGTTTGAGAATATCAATTATACCGGAGCTACCTTGGAACTATTAACAGAAGACGTTTGTTTAAATATAAATAGTACTAAAACTGTTACCATACTCTACACTGAATTTCTAGTACGTGATGACCAAGGATCCTCAGAGATTAGGACATGCTGACAGTTGGAGTGTTCATAAATAACGAATTTACTTAAAAATGATAAAGAAATTGTAAAGTTACACAAATCATGATTGATAAACTTCTTTACTGATGTAGAATACACTTCTTGCTTTAGAGGAAATACTCGTAGAATGGTCTCAAATAATATTTGGAGACTTATTTGCTTTATAAGGCCTGATATTGTCCTTTGTCAAGTTCTTTCTCAGGCTTAATAAAGGAAGTGAAAGTTTTGTCCGAATACTTCTGTTCTCCTGTCAATTAATCGTTTTGCTAGCAAATAAACTCAGCAAGACATTTGAAATAGTTTACGTTCTGAACCACAATACGTAACAGCTTCTTAAGAACGCAACTTATGATAAATCTAATTCGTCAGATAGGCTATAAACAATTCTCTATACCTCGCGCATATTTTGAAACCCGTAAATCATAATTTTATTTACGAAACCTACTACATTCTACTTGCCAAAATAATATAATGACAGAAAATAATGATGATGATGATGAAGATACTACTGTTATTACTAACTAACGTACTACTATATGGCGTATAGCCCGTAAATCATAATTTTATTTACGAAAAATACTACATCTTACTTGACAAAATAATATAATGACATAAAATAATGATGATGAATATAACTACTGTTATTACTAACTAACGTATTACTATATGGCGTATTCAGGAAGGTTTTTGTAAGTCTTATACAAAGAAGAAACCAAATAGTATGGCAATGCAGTAGTAAGAAATGCTAATTTGGTTAATGTCTATTATTTGCTCTAATTAATGTTATCATTAATAATGACGCTTTTAAATATAGCATAATTTGTAAATCATGTTCACATAGCTTTATAACGTACATTAAAAATAACGAAACCAGAAACTCTTTCCTTTGAAACACAAATGAACGCGGAAGCGAAAGGAATAGAAGTTACACCTGTAACTGCTTTCAACAAGAGAACTGAGATCAAAATATCTCAGTGAGGCAATCGATGCATTCGATAGGTTCGTACCGTAGCCCGTCGGACCTCAGCATGCAAATGATGCACTTTTAAAAATATAAGAACAATAGAACGCTTTAAATTAATCCTTTGAGGCGTAGTTGTTTTTAAGCTCTTAAGTTATGTCGTGTAAAAATGCGAATGTAGACGATAATAATAATATTAAAATCTCAAAACTAATGACAACTAATTTTTCATCTCCTTTACAATAAAGTTAGCGATTTTTAAAATTTTTCTATTGTTATTCCAATTCTATAGAATAAGTTTTTAAAAATTATTATGTGGGTCACCATCTTGTGAATGCCATTTGTTAACCGCGCTATCTTCAAAACGTTAAAATCAACCTGAAACATTTATCCGTAAAGCTTATTTTATAATTAGTTTAAAGAATTATATAATGACGTTAGTATAATTCAATTTTACTATCTCGGATACATTTTCTGTTAAATTTATTTTATTCTTCACGAGCTACAATTTTCATAGACTAATTTATGTTCAATATGTTAAAATAATAAGACATCAATGCTGAATTTTATAAAGATTTTTACTATGAAACCCCGGACACCGTTCTTTGGATCCAAAATTAAGATGGAGGTCGCCTTTGCCGATATTAATACTTTAAGTGCCTTCGTATCACTGGGTTCAAAATGATAGTCCGGACAAGTGGGATTTCTAGGCGGGTAAAAACGCAAGCCACAACAGAACTAGCACATAAATAACTTCAGTATATAAATGTATTGATAAGATTTACCTTGTGAGATGGCTCTGTCTTCATTTGCGTCTGGTTTCGGGAATTCTACCTTGAAGTCTGTTAAACTCTTCCCAGGTCTGAAAGTCAGTATTGCCTCCTGGAACAAGATCTCTGGTAGCTGGACTTTAAACTCGTGGCCCTTGAGGTACCTCGTGACCCTCGACAATATCATGGCGTCCAGATTCTCTGCGTCACTTTCATCTAGTGACCTTGAATATTGAGCACCGACCACAGAATCTAGATACGTCAGAACTTTCAGCCGGAGACACGACATCGAAGAAACTCTTTTGTCACTACCGGCAAAACAGTCTCCTACAACAGCCGACAGTAGTTCTTCGCCATTGCTAATCCTTCTTGAAGAACTATGTATGATTTCATTATCGCTTACGTTTGAGGCGCTGCAGGCTACAGCGAAGACGAACAGTAGGGCCGGAAGTAGCATTGTATCGCCGAAGATGGTGGTCAGTACTGGAGGGCCACTGGGTTGAATGTGTAGGGCCACACCTCCTGGCGCCAACCTTTTATTGTTGTGGTCTTAAGAAGGTCAGGAGGTCGTGATGCGGATTGAAT